TTCCAGAAACTGATGAAGTCAGAATACATTTACCATTCAGATGGAGTAGGGAAAGAATAAGGAGCACGACATTTGTCATTTTATTGACCACTGTCAATATCTCACAACAAAATTAATGAAAAACTTTGTTCCAGACTGACAAGTTTTATTCTCACTTTGTAGTAAACACCTGTGTGGCAATCGAGCAATCAGTGTATATTCCTAGATCAATTAATTATGTCAAATAGAAGGGGACAAAATCTCTGTCACATTATCTCAGGTTTGAAAGTACAAACAATATTGGCAGAATATATGCGCCTGGGCACCCATGTAAAACCATGCAAAGAATCATCATTTACCTACTCTTTTCTTTAATCTATGAAGATGCTGAATGTTTGAAGATCATTTCCAAGACGTTTTCCTCAGATTCTTGGAACTCAAGAACTGAAAGATAGTGGAGATGTTTTTCTGCATGGAAAACCTTTTTCCTAGATGGACACATGGCTTGATCAGAGTGATTTAAATTACTAGTAGAAATCTCACAAGAGAAACATCTGCTGATGAATCTATTGATAGGGTGGTGGGGTGGTAAAGGTGGAGCATTGGTGGATTGGTCAAATTTACTATTACATTCAAAAAGGTAGATTTTCTGAAGTAGAGAGAAGGTATGTGACTTCCTCATACTTTCAAGAAACTCTAATGGAGATCTTGGAGCTGAGAAGCCTTTCTTTCTCTGGAAACACAGATGATTTTATAGTTGTAATTAAAGATCTCAGCACAAGAGAATCCTAATCTATTTTTCACTAAGTTTTCCCATTTCTAAACTGCCTTTTTATTGCATGTGACAGATCTAGTCTTGTTTGCTTTGCAGAGCACTGACCACTGTTACCATGTAGACCATTTCCATCACTCTGAGACAATTCTTGTCCCTTAAACACGCTCTCCAAGCAGAGTGAAATTATTTCACTTGATTCATAAACTGATTGAGAGGAAGCCAAAAGGTGCAATTACATTGCTTCCACATCTACTTTGGCTTTCAGCTTCAGACTAGGCATGCCACTTATTTCTGTGTGTAGTTATATGCAGATATATTTCCAATATTCGTTGTCGCTGCTGCAGCTGAAGCTCTTTGCAGGTAAGCCCATGGCTACTCAGGTCTGCACATAGGTACCTAATCTGCACTGTTCTCTGCATTGCACCTAGTCTGCCTGGAGAAAGGATGTAAATATCTCTTGACTGCAGCAAGTAGGAAATGTCCCAAAGCATCTATTTTTACCAAAGTGAAGCTGGGTTGCCATGCTACAGTCGAAACAAAGAGTAATTAGTAATACACTGAAAAGATACAAGAAAAGAAATCATACAAAGGGGAGTCCTTGCTGGTATCTCACTTTCCTGATTCTTATCTTTTACTTCCTATTTCTGGCTTTTTATTCTGGACTTTGCAGCTCTGCTTCCTTTTGGTGTTTCCCTTTGAATCTTAGCATGTTGTACTGCATTGTGCTTATTGCTTTTAGTAAAGGAAGCCTAGGAAAAAGTTGGATCATTCAGGAATGCACAGGAACATATTTTTAGTTTAAGGACTGCCTTTTGGAAAACAGCAACAAGGATCACGTGTTAAACCTTCTCCAGTGTTAAAGGATAATGCTTCCTGTTTAACCAAACTTACATGTTCAAAAGACTGGCTGACTACAGTATTCAAAGTGCTTAAGTTAGAGTTGAAGAGACTGACATTCTGCTTACAGCATAAAATGAGCTAAGCCTTGGAGTATTGCCTTTATGGTTAGATTGTTCCTGTGCATCGGCCACATCCGTGTGCCACCAAGTGTGTCGTTTCCTAGTGATCTTCAACAGATGGGTCAAGCTTTTCAAAGGGCATAAATACAAACTCTAGGCTCTCAAACAAATTCAGAAATGGATTATTTGCAAACGAAGTAGAAAAACTGAAGTACTCATCTGGAACCGCAGTACATAGTTCACTGATGCTGAAGCAGTAGTTACACCACCATAATGGTAAAACATAGTGCAAACACCATATTATACGTGGCGATGTAATTATGACGTAAATTGGCACTAATTTCTATTGTAAATTTGAAAAAAATTCAGCACGGATATGATCTGATCCAGAATATCTTCCACTTTTAAAGTATATTTATTCTGCAAGTTAAATAGTGGTGTCAATTTTTCTGCTGTTGATAGCTAGGGAAGCTTCATTAATTCCAATAGTAGCAATTTTCAAGGGAGGGCTCTGCAGGCTCAAGCTGTTCATTGGAAATAAATGCTTAATGGATTCAACAGGTAAAACAACAAAGGAACACTAAAACCAGAGGGAGCAAGCACTGGATTTATTTCACCACTTGGTCAGTGGACAGTATGGAAGATCATTATTTCCTCCATGGCACTTATGTATATGCCAGACCTCTATCTGCTCATATTGTTTTCTTCCATTACATGTATATTTTGATCCATTGTAATAATTTACTTTGGCTTCTACCTCCAAGCACAGAATACAGTTTCCATTTTATTCCAAATAATATTGGCTTGTTGCTAGGGAAGCATGCTGATTTCTTTTACAATTTCTTTTCCTCACCACATCTGTGTGTAATTTTTTTCTTTATCATCTCCGTAGGACATTTTCCCTGTGAGAAACCCAAATGCGAAATGCTGCCCTTTCGGATTTGTTTGGTGTTTCACATGAGGACTGCCTCCCAAATTTATTTACGCAAAACGGTTTTACCATCTTGTGTTTGCTATCAGGCATAAATGCCTATGTTCAAGTGCAGATGGGTTTGCACACTCCCCCATTATCCATTAATGAACAGGCAGAACTGAATTTAAGGGCAGGTGGAAGTCTACTCAGGAGGGTGACCGGAGGGAGAGTCTTCCTGCTCTTCACTGCTCCAGACCTGTAGGTTTTAGTGCACTGAGGATGTGACCTGCTACTCTGAGCTTCCTTTAGCAAGCAAAGTGAGCTATGGGACTGATGTAGCAACTGCTCTACTTTGGCTGAGCTGTGGCTGTGATGGCGTCAGGAACAGCAGAGCCATTTCTGATCTATCTGCCCCTTACACCTCAATCTCACCTACAACCTTTCTTCAATGCCTGTAGTATTCCCAGAAGCGTAGATGCATGGGATTTTAAAGGTAAGGTCACCTGCTACTCTCATTGCTGTCATTTCATGACTACCAATAAAACATAGTCAGTTTATGTGGAAAGCCATCTTTAAGGTTTCAATTCTTATACTTTAAAGTCATTGCTTGTGGTCCTGCCTTACATGTGAAAATAATAATGAGCTAGAGAATGCATGCCTCTGCCTGCTAGCTGCAGTATTCAGCAGTAATGTATTCTGTGTGATTATATACTTTAAGAAGGATACAGTTATTGCAAATGTTTACCTATGTGTAGACCCTTTCTGATGGGTTAAATCTCTTACTTCCCTCCCCTCCTCTCTCCCTTCCCACCTCCTATCCTATCCTATCCTATCCTATCCTATCCTATCCTATCCTGTCCTGTCCCGTCCCGTCCCGTGCCATCCCATCCCATCCCATCCTATCCTATCCTATCCTATCCTATCCTATCCTATCCTATCCTATCCTATCCTATCCTATCCTA